CACCTGTGATTCCGTCTGTTTGTTTTCTAATCTTGGTCAAAGTTTTTTTCGTCAGAGAAAAACCAAAGCATGCCATTTTCGTGGGGATTTTTCACTTTGTTCAGCAACCTTTTTGAACGCATGAGACGGTTTTCCTGTGTCTTCGCCGATATGAGTTGACCCTTCCTCATTTACATATGACGTATATCGAATGTCCTGATGTACTACGGCCCTGAGAGTCCACTCTGATATCTGGAGTTCTTTGGCGATGGACCTCATTGATCTTCCGAGGTTCTCATCGATGATGTTTTGAACATTGCGTATAAATTCTGATGTTCTCACGGTATCAGAGCGCTGTGAATGCTTTTTTTTTCTTTTTGCTACAGGGCAAACATTGCCATCACACCCCTCTAGCTTCAACCGAACCTTACGAACAAATGATCTGGCAACATGTAAGAAGTTACTGATTTTTTAAATCACGATGTTTTGCAGCTGAAGCAAAAATGACTGCATATCTTTTCACTTCTTAGCTTAACATCTTCCTCTGACCGTGTTATCTGTTATAAAAAAATATTATAAATGATTTGAGTGTGTAGTGAACTTAAAACAATATGTCCTCAAATAGCACTCGCACCCTGTATATATATATATATATATATATATATATATATATACTTTCGCTGACTTCATTTTGCTTTGCTACGTACACGACACATTTAAAAAATAGTCTTTGTATCTACTTTCCCAAATGACCTTTCTTATTTGAAACATCAGCACTGCACAATGTTGCTATATGAAATCTAATACATACGGAGCTGCATCAATACATGCAGGCTTATTACCGAAATTAAGCAACGTCAAACCTGGCCAGTACCTAGATGGGTGACCGCGTGGGAATAACCTGTGCTGTAACAGTAATATATATTGAGGTATGTTCCATTAAATAATATAGACAAGTTTTGTCTATTTTATGTAAATTCTTTTCATATCGTCTGATAAGCTTAATAACATTATCATTAAAAGATGAAAGAAAATCATCATATTGATACCTATGTTTTTAATCCTATCTAAGCTTTCGGCTTACATAAGCCATTATCAAAGATGACAATTACATTACAATATATTAAAGAATATACATTCAAAACAATAATGATAGTCTGTTTTTGTTTGCATGAAAGATTTCCAAGCAACGAAAATCGTGCATGCGAGACGCTGGAAGCGAAAATCACGCCGCAGCACATGACGACACACATGACCACGCGTGTGTGAAAACGCGAAGTATTAAGTATGGGACGCCGTTGGTATAAGTCAACGGCATCTGTTATCAATTATATATATATATATATATATATATATATATATATATATATATATATATATATACACTAATCCAAATGTATACACACACACGTGTGCGTGCATGCGCACGCGCGCGTTTTAAGGTGCATAATAAAATATGAAACAAAAGTGAAGATAATGAAATATTTCAAAATTTATCTATCTATTTGTTGGTTTCAGTTTTTATATATATATATATATATATATATATATATATATATATATATATATATATATAATCTGTTGGTATAAATCGAAGTGAATCCTAATAATATGAAATATTAAAACTTATCCATAAAAGAGCCCAATGTATTTATTATAACAAAGCATATAAAATACATCTCTGAATTGATAAGGTGCACATCCGTGGATCGAAATAGCTATTTTCCGAATGAGGAGTTTTTTATTCTTAATATATATATATATATATATATATATATGTAGTTTTCCCTTCAGTTTTATATATATATATTTTCTCAGCCACCTCCTCTTATTCTTATATTGATCGATTTATGTACAGCCATATATTTGTTGGCTTCGGTCATATATATATATATATATATATATATATAGTCATCCACAGACAGACTGCTTCGCTGTATCACAGCTCATCAGTGTGACTTGCCATCGGGTTGCCTCAAGCTAGGATCGAAACCCGACTAAATTGGCGTCAATCTCTGGTTCTACCACTGGCGCACGACAGGGATGAAGGTGAATTTAAGTGTATTTATTTTAGATAAACACACAGTGACTGAGAGAACTCGATTCGATTTAGCGAAGAGTCTAATAGTCACTTTTTACAAACCCCCACTTCCTCCCCAGAGAGCTCAACCGAAATAATTTTTTCCGGAGCATATATTGTCATCCACAGAAAGAGTTAATGGATTTATTTTTTATCCATTCAGACTCTATAATAGGGAACACTTTATATAAGAAATAAAAACGGATAAATAGATCGTTGTTTAATGTGACGTTCTTCGTAGTTTAGACAGATATTAGTCGAAAATATAACACTACGACACAAAGATGATAATAAGCAAAAACTAAAAATTGTAGAAGGACTTTATATATGAGAATTGCAGCCCAAAATAAATAATGTCACCTACCAGTAGAACAACAACATTCTTAAATGTTTATAACAGAACAGTTTTTTAAAAATTATAATTGTTAAAAGCTTCAATGAAAAAAATCTATTAAACCCACAAAAATATATTCCAAAGAAATCACATTTTTATCTCCCTTGCATAACGGGTAGATATTTCGAATTTTATGGTGAACATGCACAAAAATATACTCCAGAATTATCACATAAATTACCATCCATGCATAACGAGTAAATATTTCGAATTTTGCGATGTTCATTAACACATATCCACAGACATTCGACCCCTGAAGTTGATCTCGGACAACATTAAAAGTACTTGAGAAAATTAAAATTTTTTGAATAAAAATTTGTTCTTTTTCTTAACCAGTTTTCTACAACCATGAAGAAATTAATCCAAAATTGAAAGATTAAAATTAAAATATGTAGACATAATACGTCTACATTATTTAACCAAACATGCTAAAATGAAAATATGCTGCCTAACCATATATATATATATATATATATATATATATATATATATATATATATATATGCAGGTATACTTCACCTTACGTGGTTAATTGGTTAAAAAAAAGACAACTCGAAATAACCAAGCTATAACCCCCATTGCTTATTCCAGTATGTATGATATGTGCGTACAGTATTCTGAATAAAACAATCAATTTCCACATTATCTTCCAGCGATATGCCCTTGTGCTTAGCATTAGCACTTGCACTGGGACTTTTCTTCAGAACCATAGGCAGAAATGTATTCTAAATACCAACTGAAATATGATTGAAAGGACAACAACGGCAGAGCACAGATGTAAACAAGTCTCAATTCAAAATCGGTGTTGGAGAGGAAAAGAACGCTCGAGTGCCGCCTATCGGCAGAAATTTGAAAACAGAATATCTGTTGAACATACTTTATTATGCTAAATTTTTTTTTGATAATTTTATGACGTGTATAGATACACACACACACACATACACTCATATATATATATATATATATATATATATATATATATATATATATATATATATAGTACACTCAATATTATTTTTAAATTTATTTAAACCTGATTTTATGTTTTTATTGTTATTTTAATGATTTCAGGTTTAGAATATTTTTAACGATCGACGTAAACTCTAGTAAAACGACTTAAGTCGGGTTTCATTTTTCCATATAATATTTAAGAAAAACCGACGTATTTTCGAAAATGACTTAACTCGAAACGACTTAAGCCGAGATATCATTGTATATAGCCAGAGAGAGAGGGAGAGGTGGGTATAATAGAACGCCATAAACTACTTTTCCTTTCATTTACAGAAACAATAAGAAAGATGTGAGAAAGGTAAGTTAATGGGCAAGTAAGAAAGCTAGAGAAAACTGAAGAGCAACGAAAGAAAACGAAATATCCTTGCAAAGGCATGAACCTTTATCTTCCCTGCCTGTAATCAGCTAGGCGTTAATAACCGGATTAGGTTCTTTCGCTTTTGCTGTCAATCAGCCAGTAACAATTTTGATTTCAAACACAGGTTACGTATAGTGATACCAATTCCACCCCTTAAACAAGAAATCTTTCTACGGAAGCCACAGCTGCAGCACCTAGTCTGGTGAGGCTGTGGCCCTAGACTCAACAGGGATACTACAGTGTTATGGTCCATATAAATCTTTTCTTATTTTTTTCTAATTTAAAGCGGGTAAAAATTTACATATTTATTTTTATTAAGAAACGCGCTCCTGACGTGGGAACGTATGCCTATGTCACGGTTTTAAAAATTTTATTGCAAAATATATTTTGTGTCAAACTATTATTGCTCAAAGGAGAATAAATATCTATTACGCACAAAAATGATGAGGGTCACTGCCTGCAACTTAATCGCTGCGCGTTTCTATATCGTAATGATTGATTGGTTAGTGGAGAGTAAGAGAAAAGGGAAGAGGAAGGATGGACCATAGCGAATAGCACTTCAGAGGAGAGCAGAAGCATAATAGCAAAATATTGAATGTATTCTCCATCAAAACCTGAATAAATTGCAAGGTGTTATCTGTGATCAGAGAATTTTCTCATAGTCTTAAGTGGGGAAATACAAACACGAACAGAGATTAGCAAACACGAACAGAGATTAGCAATAAAGACAAATAAGAACACATTGAGAACAGACCGCAATAGATAGATAGATAGATAGATAGATAGATAGATAGATAGATAGATAGATAGACGAGAACTGATTGAGATAGATAGATAGATAGATAGGTAGATAGATAGATGAGAACTGATTGCGATATTAGAATATAGATGAGAACAGATTGCAATAAGTGTTAGATAAGAACAAATTGAGATAAAGATAGATATATAAGAATAGATTGCGATAGATAGATAGATAGATAGATAGATAGATAGATAGATAGATAGATAGATAGATAGATGTGTAGACAGGCAGACAAACAGGCAGGCAGACAGATAGATAGATAGTTAGATAGATAGGAACAGATTGAGATTAATAGATATGAACAGATTGCGATAGAAAGATAGATGAAAACAGATTGATCGATCGACGGATCGATAACTAGATAGATAAGCAGTCTCTACACTATCATAGATAGATAGATAGATAGATAGATAGATAGATAGATAGATAGATAAGCAGTCTCTACGCTATAATAGATAGATAGATAGATAGATAGATAGATAGATAGATAGATAGATAGATAGGCAAACACAATGAGATGGATAGATAGGCAAACACAATGAGATGGATAGATAATAAACACATTCAGATAGATAATAAACACATCAAGATAGATAATAAACACATCAAGATAGATAAACAGATACTAAACACATTGTGATAGATACTAAACACATTGTGATAAAAAATGAACACATTGTTATAGCTAATAAACACATTGTATATTATAAAGGACAACGGAACGTCTGGCACAAGGATCAGAAGACGCATTCGAGGATCTAAGCAAAATATCTATTATTTATAAAGAAAGAAAACATTGCCGAAATGCCATGTAATATCTATCCTATATGAAAATGAATTCTGGACATTTGTTTTACATATGAAATAGTGACTTGAATCTACAAAAAAATTTAGGTCTAAAGACGGATACCAGTAAAATGGTGTGGGGGGGGTCTAACTGGACACTTGTAATTAAATTCAGAAAGAGAAGAGATTGCTCAACGAATTTAAAACACACAGATTATATTACAACCGAAAGGGATAGGGAGAAACAGCGTGCAAACTAATTTGTTCGAGTTGATGGCAAAATCAGGACAAATGAGGATGGTAAAGTCAAACGGTCTTCGAGCGGCAAAACCAAGGGACGTTGTGGCGAGCTATAATCTCTTATGTCCTGTAGGACATACCAAAGACACAGCCACAAAATCAGTTGAAACAATAGATATAAGAAGATTGTTTGATGCCAATCATTCATCGGTTTATTTGTCTGCCTTTAAAATCAGCTTTTGAAGATTTGATGTTGATTCAAACATCGTCATTTAGCGGCGTTAGTCAACTATCTCAGCCACAAAGGAATCATTGTGTGTGTGTATATGTTTTTATAGCTTCTTTTAGGAGACTGTGGGTGAAAGGCAGTGTGATGTTTGCTGGTAAAGGAAATTGGCAAAACAAAATAGCACTCGTTGATTTACGAATGAAAATGTGCGAAATGAAAGCGGCGCAAAGATGAAAAGAAAGAATTCTATCCTGTGAGTCATCTTGTCAACTGCTTTTGGTGTGTCACTTAGCATTAGTGTTTTTTTCAGACTTGTGCTTTATATTAGCATCTCCGACAAGTCGACAGTATTTATTGGACACTTCTAGCGAAAATAATATATATATATATATATATATATATATATATATATATATATATATATATATATATATATATATGTGTGTGTGTGTGTGTGTGTGTGTGTGCATATATATATATATATATATATATATATATATATATATATATATATGTATGTAATATATATATATAATATTATTTATATATTATATGCATGGTATTATGAGAAAGGGCTCAATATCAGACATAGAGCTTACATATTTGGTTTGATTGATGTGAGTTTGTGACCCTGAGTTTCACGCTTTTGCGATCGTCAGACAAACACATATATATAAATTGTATATACATATATAAATTTTGTATATATATATATATAAATTATATATATACATGTAAATTTTATGTATATACATATATATATAATTTATATATATATATATATATATAAATTATATTTAAGTTATGAAAAACTTGGTAATCCATATGCCTAGTCCCAAGGGGGGTGAAATCCTGTGAGCTCAATGTAAATCCAGAGCTAATATTTTAAAGTGGTCTGTTTTTTTTTTTTAAATATATATAAATTATATATATATATATATATAAATTATATATATATATATATATAAATTATATATATATATATAAATTTATATATATATAATTGATATATATATATATATATATATATAAATTATAAATCTATATAAATTATATATGTAGTTTATATATATATATATATATATGTATATATAAATTTTATATATATATATACACACACACAGATATATATATATATATGTATATATATATATAAATTTTCCATATATATATATATATATATATATATATATATATATATATATATATTTATAATTAAAGGTGCAAATTATAATTTATAAATTCATGAATCATTCATACAAAACCAAATATAGAGGTTAATGATTTAAATGGCGAGAATACCACTTCGCAAAGAATATAAATAAGATACATCAACCCCGAACCTGTATATGAATGGTATGATCCCTGTTCATAAACTCCAGTTCCATAAGGTCTTTTAATTTTTACAAGCTTTCGTCTGTTCCTACAGACATCCTCAGGTGTGGAAATAGATTTGTTCTTGTTTTTACTTCTCGGTAATAAGAGGACAACGAAAATAAAGGTGTAATCCGAAAAAATGCTATGAGAAATGTGTTATTGTTTTGGAACGTGCGGTCGCAACGCTGAGTTTGAATTTAAAGTTTAAGGTTGTGCGTTTTTGTACAAAAGAGAATTCTTTTTTACTGGTAGATTTTCCGTCTATGTGGCATGAACTATATTGTTCAATAATTACAGTAATATCACACTTATTATCCGAGAGTTGCACGTTGGATCAGTTTTTTAAATTCAATTAAAGGTGCAAATTATAATTTATAAATTCGTGAATGAATTTATAATATATATATATATATATATATATATATATATATATATATATATATATATATAAGTTACAAAGAACTTAGTAAACCGAATGGATAATTCCAAGGACGATGAAATCCTGAGAGCTCAATGTGAATACAGAGCTAATATTTAATGAAAAACAGACCACTTTAAGGTACCATTACAATAATCTATTTCACCAAAATCCTTTTTAAAGGACTCCGGATCATCAGGTAACAATTCCAACAACGAAATAAAAGGAAAAATGGGATTAGAAATTGATGGGAAGTGTAATTTTTGTAATTTAACAGGTGGGGGGTGAGAATTGTAGTTAAAGAGACAAGGTAATATATATATATATATATATATATATATATATATATATATATATATATATATATATATGGTTTATATATATATATATATATATATATATATATATATATATATATATATATATATATATATATATATATATATATATATATATATATATATATATATATGGTCTTGCCTTCAGCTCTATTTGTGTATAGCAGCCACTTTTGATATATATATATATATATGTATCTGCTTTGCTCTAGATATATCTCCACGTTTATTTTTATGTTTCTCAGCCTCCTCCTTTCATATTTTTATGTTCTTCGATTCATGTACACCCATATATCGCAGTTTATCTATTTTTTGGTCTCAGTTTGCACACACACACACGAATATATATATATATATATATATATATATATATATCCTTGCCTTCAGCTTTATATGTGTATGACAGTCACTTTTCACACATATATCTGCTTTTCTATAGATATCTCTCAGCACGTACTTTTTTTCTCTGCCACTTCTATTCATATTTTTATGTTCATCGATTCTTGTTCACCTATATATTTTGGGTATTAATGGATTCATTTTGAATTCAGTTTTATTAATTCAAAGGTCATTATAGTGAATACTTTGTATTTGAAATAAAAAAAAAAGGAATATAGATCTTTGTTTAATGTGACGTTCTTCGTGGCCGAGCGATAAAAGCGCACCGAATCAAACGCTGTTTTGTCCTATAAACTTGGATGCAGGTTCCATCCCTACCGGAGAATAGCTAGGATTTCTCGAATGCACGTCGTCTGATAGACGTAATATACACTTTATATATATATATATATATATATATATATATATATATATATATATATATATATATATATATATATATATATATATATATATATATATATATATATATATATATATAGATAGATAGATAGATATAGATATATATATATATACAAACACAAATGGAACTCCATTTCTGATGGTACCAAATTTATGAATAATGACATCATACATACAACTATATGCCAATCAAAAAGACTTACTTTGCACCTCTCGAATCATAACTCCATTTAAATACACACAGAGAATTACCAACCTTTGTTCGCGCCTTAATGATACAATAGTCTGACTTTAAAAAAACGGAATGGCAGCATTAATTCTAAAAAAAAGAAATCTCTGAATATTATTAACTATAAACAGGGTCAAAATATACTGACTGTGTTCGGGAATTAAATCATTTCTGTTGCTAAAAATTAATGTCACAATCTACATAAAGCAAACACAAAAGTCCATGATAGATTAGCTGAAAGCGATCCGGATATTTCGTCAGTTCTTGCACTATATATATCCCAAAGAGTAATATTCTGTTCACACACAGTAAAAATGCAATAAAATAGTTATCTCAGTGTCTTGCAACTATCTTCAAGGAAACTATATATATATATATATATATATATATATATAAACGTCTTACTAGTTTGTGTTTGGAGGGGATATAAATCCAGGTAGAGCTCAATGTAGTCCTCAGAGCATTATAATGATAATAAGATTTCGGTCTGAAGAGTTGAACACCTTGGTGTTTACGAAATAAATTATAATCGAAATGGATAATTAAAGTCTCCGTATTATATATATATATATATATATATATATATATATATATATATATAAAAAAAAAAAAAAAAAAAAATAAAATAAAATAAAAAAAATTAAATGTAATTTTAACGGATACCCATATTTGAGTAGACGCTCCGTTTTTATTTATTTATTAAACAGTATACAGTGTAACCCGGATATAAGAGAAACCCGGATGTAAGAGACCCGGATATAAGAAAAACCCGGATATAAGAGAGATTTTCTCTGGTCCCAAATTAGAGCCTGTGTTAATGTATATAAAATAGACCAAACCCGAATATAAGAGAAAACCGGATATAAGAGACTTCTTCTCCGGTCCCGACAACTCTCTTATATCCGGGTTACGCTGTATTTATTGACATCTACCGGCCCGAAAATTCGAGAAATCTTCTTGTAAAAACTTGCACCCAGGGCAGGATTCGAACCTGCGTCCCCTAGTGGAAACCGTCATTATATCTTACGTACCTTGACCTCTCGACCACGAAGAAACGCCTGAAAGCCTCCCTTTAAGAACTGTTTGCATTAATACGAGTGACTTTCTCCATGACACCCTGTTTGAATAAACTTTGTTTCACATCTTCATCAACGACCTACTCGATGCCATCTGCTCTTGATTCAATATCTATGCTGATGACACAATT